CTTAGAGAGGGCTGAAAGCCCTATGAAGCGGTATATAAGTCTAACTGCTATTGCTATTGCTATTGTAGACTCACTCAAGATTTTCCATGTCCCATGTAAGCTTATAAACTCTATAAGCTTACATGTTCTTCCATAATTGGAATTGCGGGATTTTGATTGCTTCAGAATTGTCATAGCCTCTTGTGATAGGATGTGTGAGTGAAACTGAGACAATACAGCATCTAATCTGCAGAATCTGGTGCACTTCACAGACTTACCTGAAGGGTTTTTCCATCCAGTAGGAATCTGTGATGGGAATCTTCAACTATTAGCTGTCCATCTTTCTCCCACATTATGCTCGGAGGAGGACTGCCCTCTGCTATACATTCCATTATTGCCATCTTGTCCAGAAGTACAATCAGCTCCACAGTCACATCACCGCTGGAACCATTAAAGTATGGTGGCACTAGGCGGAAAGATTAAGGAGAACAGTTTTGTACCCTTTGACTTCTTCACAACATTGCTGAGAAGATGAAAAACATAAGTTAGAAAGCTCCGGAACAATTTTCATTCATAACATTTTTTTTTCAGGTATTATCAGAGATGCCTTTATCCCAAATGACTCTTCAAGAAACAGCATGGTGCATTTTTATTTGAAGGGGAAAATATTAGACATTTTCTTACTCAGAAGGGAATCTAATATATCATATTAGTAGAATTTTCTACTTGCCGTGTCTCCTGTTGTAGCCTTAGTATCTTAATATTTATATTTATTAGACATTAATACTACTAGCACACAGTAAATTATATGGAATGAAACCAAGTGAGGCCCGCCATTTAAAAGAAGAATTATGTATTATTTGCAAACTCAAAAAAACATCAAGTAAGCTCACGTAGCACGCGGACATCATATTGGATAGAATCTTCTCCAGCTTCATTAATGGCCACGCAGGTATATCGTCCAGCATCTTCACTCTGAGCTCTAGGAATCTGCAACACACGACCTCCTAAAGTAAAATAAGAATGAACTTGCCATCCTTCTAAACACAGATCATGGGTTGCTCTAAGACAAATAGATATACTTGATTCATGATTAGAAAGTAGAACTTTGATAGACCTCATATGTTCAACCCTCCTCTGAGGTTTTAGGGTAGTTAAAAAGCTTAAAACTTAAATATCAGGAAGAGGAAGATCAGCTTAAATCTGTGAATGCTGGCTGGGGAATTCTGGGAGTTGAAGTCCAGACATCTTCAAGTGGCCAAGGTTGAGAAACACTGGCTTAAATGTCATTATGTCAAGAGTAAGAAAGCTTCATGGCTGTACACTGAACACTGAAAATATGTCTATAATACAGCTCTAATTGATCACAAGCTGGGTTCTTATGGGCTTTCACCATTATTCTTAATGTCCCTAGGCTTTGAGCAAGCAAAGCAAGTAGTAATCA